TTTTGTCTTAAGCTTCTACAATTGTTGTTAATCATAAATTCGACAATATTATCTGGTAGTGGAATAGTTTTCGGCAGATATACCAAATTTTATCGACCGGTAGTATAACCCGCGCCATAAACATGTGAATTTGTGCGAGACGTAGATTAATCGATGTAATATAACTACTTAAATATAGCATTTTATTGAAAAGCGGTGTTGATGTTAAAATGCACAAGAGTAATAGCCTCATTCGTTTGGTCGTCTGAATCGCTTTGGTACTTGAATTTGACTTTTTCCTGATCACGACCTTAAATTTATCAACGGATAGTGACAGCACTTCGCATCGATACTTCAAAATCGGCCAAACGAAGCGATACAAAGCCACTTGATAAAATCGATAAGTTCAATGAAGATGAAACGCACTCTGATGCAAAGCTATCGAATCTAGATAGAACGTCCTACATTGACAAGTATTTAAATTCAGTTGTATCATGGATGTAGCCGTATATAAAGAAAAAGCTTATAATGGTACTTGGTCATTCAAAATTGTCGATAGGCCTAGATGAAGATTTTATAAATGGCATAAGGTGGAATAACCGGCGCGTCGGGTAACTAGCAGGATTAGAGATTCATCTAATAGACTTAAGAATGATATACAACGTACAGTTTTGAACGTTGCGATCATTTCATTCGTCGCTATGAAGTCTTTAAAATTACCATTGATTTTTTGAAGATACCTAGATCCGCGCGTCCGCGCTAAAGGAATTGGGGTCAAGACTTGTATTCAATTTTGTTGTATTTATCGTGAAGATACGCGCAAAGAAATGTCGCGAGACAAGAGATGGTTTGCCTAATATTGTAAGTGATGCTCAACTAGACTACATAGGTGATTAGAGCCCTACAATCAATATAATACTCTATGATATCCTAGATGAAGATCCATAAAACAAAGGCGATCGGCATCCTGACGGGATAAATAGATGAAAAATAGGCCGAGGATGTGTTAACAGTGTTATAGGCCAGAATCGACCAAATTTTTTATCCTTTACAGTTTAACTGTTCGGCCTCCAGTATGTGTAGCTTATAATTAACACATATGCTACTTCGGCAGCTCTGCTGCATAAATACGATTCCGCAGACCGACTAATACCGTTCAGGAGCTGATCGATTAATCCCAATCAAATATATTACAAAACGTTTGAAAAGAGGCGCTCGAATAACTTTTGATGAAAAAATGCTTATAGATGCTGGTTATATGAGAATTGGAAGTTGGTACGCACCAATTGGTGTTAGCTTGATTAGTATATTTATCGAGCCTAACTCGACGATCTAAGAAGTAGGTAGGTATTCCATTTAACGAAATGTTTAATTGAAACTTGCGAGAAGGGCGGAGATGAGATAGGTGTCTTATATGCTTTAAGATTATAATTCCACGAGGTGGTGCATGACTTGCTGATTGCGATGGATTTACGCAAAAAAAAATCAAAAAATGATAAAAATGTGCCCAAATTTACGGCAAAAACGGTCGAGTGTTTGGTTGTGACCATATTCGATTGAGCCACATTTACACAATTTTGAGACGGGTCGTAATCGGCGATCATATACGCGACACATGACTGAGCTACCGCATATGCCTCGAAGTAGAAAATAAAGGATTTAAACTGTCAATATAATGAGATATAGCGGGTTGCAGTAATATATGTAATTATATCAAATCAAAATATGTCGTCAGTTCTTATGTATTTGACTTAGTGCTAAGATAGAAGCAAGGTGAAATCGATCGTAAAGCGCATATTTTAAAGCCTCTGCAGAATTAGACGGTGTAGAAACGAGAAGATCGTCAGCTTTGATCACAATTTACAGAATTTGCTGGCTCTATATAACATAATGGGCTGCTGGAGCTAAAAATATTACGTCGTAAGATTAGTTGCTTATTAGCAAGAAACTACTGACACGTCGTGAAAAGCTTGCAAGAAGAAATCTTACAATCATTTGAATGGATTGTGTGAAATAGTCACGGAAACAATAGGTTTGAAACGTTTATTTGAAGGATTAAGTGATCGGGGATGTGGAAGAGGTAGTGTACTAGGAAAAATAACGCGTGTTTGTTTGCGTTGAACTATGAAGTAGATAAAGGCAAATTGTTTTATTTTTAGACTTTAGGCTGGATTCGCTGACTTTCGCGTGTAATTAATCCGGACGGTGCGACATATTGACGCAAAAATTGACATTTTGCACCATTTCCACACTACCCTCGAGGATATATTTAAGGTATGTACAGTACCAATTAGCGGGTCGGAATATTTTAAATCAAAAGTCAATATGAGACTTGCAACGTTTTATGTGATATTGTGAGAATTTCGTAAATAGAGATGGCCTCTCGTACCGTATTACAGAATTAGGAAATTTGTGGATATGTATTCATTTTAAGCTTGTGCCATGGACCGCATGCCGTCATTACCACGATCGTTTATAGGTAAGAAGAAGCTGCTTTAATAGCAAGATGTATTTTGGGGTTTGCGACTGCAGGGGCGAGCTTGTCTTGAACACCTTTGATAACAACGCATGCTTTCGAAATTCGGGATACAGATAAACCTAGCGATGTTCTTGTTGTTTTTGGGTTTGATTAAATAACATTACATAGAGCTTAATATACTTCCTTTTACACAAAACGCGTGGCCTTTTACTCCGGCTAAAAGACATTTGGCCTCTCGGCATTGCAGTATGCCACGCGTCTCTGATGATAAAGCCTCCCGATTACTTGGCTTTTCGTCTCAGGCGACGTGGCACATTTCCGGGCTGGAACGCATATTGGCCCCCGATGTTTCATGGGTGCCACGCGTCCGAGCTGAATCAATACCTGGATTGTCTGGATCGAAATGGACTCTCAATTGGATTAATGCACTTTGTTACGTAATCAAAAACTTCGACATATATCAGTCTGACAAGAGTCACGACAACCTTTTCGGCAGGGCAGCAACGCCTATTTACCTACCCAAGATTAAGACAAGAGTACCGCACTTTCTCAACATGAAGTCATTTCTGGATAATTTGGCCAAGTAGGACTGTATCATAGGTCATAGACTAATGGTTTAGCAACAGAGTAATAATTAGTTCGATTTGCTTTTAAGTACACGTGTCGACTTCTCTTCCGGGTTGGATCATTGGCCACCCGACGTCAAAGACAGTTACATACTTAAAGTAAGCGATACCTCTGGATTGTTTGGCCAGAGATTTAGGACTCTCAAACAACAACTCCAGCTGCGACTGGACTCATCCAGCAAGAAAGGCGAATGTTGCAAGATCGCAAGACGTCTTAAGTGGTCAGAAGACTTGAGAATCAAGCATCTACTTTGGACAAGGCGATCTAGTAGAGATCAAGGTGGCTCGTATCGAGGAACTTACAAATACAATCGCTATCGTGTGAAGGTTTCCACAGGACAGCCCAATTTCCAAACACATTAAAGCTTGGCATCGACTCGAGTCCACCTAAAAGAGTGCAATCAGCCCCACCGACGGGTACACAAGGTAAGCGAGGAATACCGCACGAAATTAGAGTACCCCTCCGTTAGTCGGTCGTCCCGGCGCCAATGGAGAGTCGGTATCGACTCCAAAAAAGAGCTATCACCACTCTACCACAGTAACGATGATGACGGCAGCGTCGTTGCTGCGTGGAATGCAACGGCAAGGAGCAGCTTCTTGCCCATCAACTCAGATTCAATGACGAGGTGACAATACAAAAAACGATACAAGCGACACAGGAAGATGGGAGCGCCGTCCAGTAAAGAAAAGCTGGCGATCCTGTATTGGCATTGTTATCATACGAGTGTTATGAATACCGTCCAGCACTATGAGTGGGGCGCTTGAGCTACGAGTGGTGTGCCTGGCTTTATCCGACGGACCTTTGGTCGAACGATAGATGCAGAATTGGCTGACCTTTTCAATTGTAGCACCATGCGATCGTGTTTTCGATTGTAGGTGTTTCGTTGTCATGTAATTGTGGTAAAACTGCACTTACAAATTGAGGTCAGTGGCTCATGCCTGGATACACCATTTTGCTTGACGATAAGCGTTTGCTGTCCAAAACAAAATGACAATGATATTGTTTGCCGCACGACTTTGCAGCCAATATGACCAGCTTTCTTTGCAGTTGCTTGAAGTCCAGAGATGCGCACGCAGCCCTCTTCATATCGATAGTGCCATCACAACTACTACTTACTGCTTGCTGACTTCGAAGTCCCCGAATTGCACATAGCATAACGATGCTTATGTGCAGAAAAGCTCAATGTCGATAACATTTTTGCTGATCTAGATATCACGCGCTTGCGGGTGTACGTGCATGTGTGTGATATGACGTCTTCAATGCTGTGCCAGCTGTCTCAATCATCTGTTTATGATCATCGCTCGAAAATATCGCTACCATCCGGTGTAGATATCTTTGCCCATATCTTACCTTCAGCACATCCCGCCGTCATGTACGGACGAATTGTTTGATCCCTAGGACTGTACTGCAGCATTTGTGCGACCGCTAGCATTGAACGAAGTGTACGATCACTAGCTATGTAGTGATTGTGCGATCTTTACCACAGAACGTTTTGTACGGTCGCTCCGCCTGCGTCAAGTCGTGTTCAACTACCGCGTCACAACGCGTCCCTACTTCTGCTACTACTTCACAAGTTGAGCCCCCGCTTCATCCCCGCGAGCGTCGCACTAGCGGTGGAACCCATTGGCTTCAACGTGACTCCAAATCAGCCGCACAGCTCGAACTCGTCTCCGTGGCGTCCCTCCCTCTGATTTCGCTATCGTCTGCAATACAAACAACAAGTGACTCACTCGTCCATCGATCGCCCACCGTCGTCAATCACACCCGACTCCGAGCCATCCCCCGCCCTCACCTTCATCGTCGTCCTCGTCGTCCTCGTCCTCGTCCTCGTCATCACTGTCATTGTCTTCGTCACTGTCACCATCCAACGTCTGCCAGCAGCTCTTCTTTCGCCCCTCCCTCTCTCTCTCTCTCCATGCTCCCCCCTTCGCTCTTCCGCCCCGCGTGGCAGGACCGACGCTCGTCCTCCATTGCGGCCCCGCCACTGGTCTTCCGTGCCCCGCCCAGGCCCACTTCCCGCTGTCCGCCCCTGGCGCTGAGCGTCGCGCAGCACGAGCCACCGAAGGAGAAGGCCGGCGTGAAGCTGCTCGTGGGGGCCGCCGTCTGCCTCGCGTACGAGTTCGCGCTCGGCCACTACCTCGAGTTCATCAAGATCATGAAGCAGACGCAGCCGCAGCTCTCGTACGTGCAGTTGACGCAGGAGATCATGCACGCCAAGGGCCTCGTGGGGGTCTGGGACGGCTTCCTCCCGTGGGGCGCGCTGCAGGGCGTGGCCAAAGGTGCGGTCTTTGCCTGGGGCCACTCGATCGCGCGCACGGGGCTGAGCCCGTTCATCCAGAGGGGCGCCGTGAGCCGAGACGCGTCGGAAGTGATTGCCGGCGGCATTGGGGGCGGCTTCCAGGGCTTTGTCCTGAGTCCGACGCTGCTGCTCAAGACGCGCGTGATGACGGACCCGATCTTCCGCGAGCACATGACGCCGCTCGAGACCGTGTCGCGCTCCATGCGCATTGGCGTCAAGGTCATCCAGCAAGAGGGCGGGATGGCGCTCATGAAGGGGTCGGGCATGTTCTCGCTCAAGCGCGTGGCCGACTGGTCCACGCGCTTCTACTTCTCCGTGCAGGCGGAGAACCTCTTGTACAAGCGCAAGAACCCCGACCATGTGCTGCAAACGAGCGAGCAGGTGATCTCGTCGCTCCTGGGGGAGTCGTCAGTGCGGCCGTGACGCTGCCCATGGACGTGCTGGTCGCGCAGATCCAACAGGCGTCGAAAGCCGGGGAAAAGGTGTCTGCTCTCGAGCTCTTTCGACAGCAGTACCGGGCTGGGGGGCTCAACAAGGTGCTGGCGTTCGGGACGACGGGCTTCGTCGCGCGCTTTGTCCACGCGAGCTTCACGACCATGATCATGAAGACAGCAACGAGTGTGGTGTACGACATGGTCGAGCGTCGCCACTAGAAGAACGCTAGCAACAAAGTCGACGGACGGATAGACAATGGGCGCGGCTGTACTTTGTCAAAACTGCACGAACGCGTCAGAACGCATCCCGTGGTGGTGCTAGAGCTGCATAGAGGCGCGCAGAGAGGAGCTCTGGGACAAGAGAAACGCTGTTATACCACGTCTGGAGCTGTAGCTGGAGGTGCAGGCGCAAATGCACGTGGAAGGAACTGTGGGTAGTGGCGAAGGAGATAGGTCTCGGCCTTTTGCATCTGCTCGTAGTCGTCGTCGCGTTCGTGGTCGTATCTGTAACCAAAGGTGCACGAACGAACGAGACTGCGTCAACACCATCGACATTTGCCGTCTCCTTTGTCATCGTCAAGTACGGCTCTCACCCCATCAAGTGACAAAGACCGTGTGCCACCAGCACAGGCAGTCGGTCTGCCAGCGTCGTGACCTCCTGGAGCTGCGCGTCGCTGCACTGGCGTGTGACGTACGCCGGACTGATGTAAATGTCGCCGAGATAGCGTTCGTCTGGGCTCTGGACGCGCGGAACCCGCCCGGCGATCCGAATTGCCGATCGATCGGTGAGTGTGCACGTAGGGCGACGCGTATCGGACTCGAAACTCGTGTAGATGATAGCAAGTACAATGCCTTTTAGGATCGCTATAAAACTTTCAAGCACAGCAGAGCGCATTACACAGGTGTGTGTGTATGTGTGCACATGCAAGAAAGCCGAAGGGGTTAGTACGAAAAGGTTGGGATTATAACGTTGGTAGAACAAGTCTGTTCGCGACGGTCCAAGACACTTAACGGAAGCCCATGGACCAGCGGATGCTCGTAAAAGTCGTACCCCAAGTTTAGGAACTACGTACATTGTTGAGATTAAGCCTTTCTCTGGCAAAAAGCTATCACACGCGCCGTTACAATTGCGCTCAATGGATATGTCAGACGCTTTTGCACTTCGTGTGCGACGGGAGTTGTAAAGGCGGGTGTGAAGCGAGAAAAATGACATTTGGATAAATTAAAACCATTTGTCAGGACGCCACGCGGTGCGCACCACATATTTGATGGGGAATTTAAGGCATATTCAGGAATGCGAGCGGCCCACGACACACTATTCACGAAAATCAATTTTCTTAGAAAGGAACAGACAGTATATCGGGAAAATAAAAAAATGCCCCACGTCCTAATATACTCAAATGACTCTCGTGTCGAGAAAGATGATGCAGCCACATTCCAATCGACTCAAGCGCAGCACATCGATACAAGTTCTGGTTTTGGTAGTGACGGTTCAGAACGCAATTTGTATGAGCACGATGCAACCTGCTAGAACACCTCACTATAGGTACTGGCAAGTCAGAGTGCGACTTTGTTTTATCCCGTCGTTTTGATAACACGTGTCATTGGTCTTATACGCAGCTCGGTAGGAGCAGCACCGCGCTCGTCTTTTTTTAGCTATACATACGCACACAAACACTGTCCGTCATTGAGCATCAGTACGCGCGTGTTGCAGGCGTTCGTGCACGCGCACCATCCACCGCAACGGCTGCATCTCGTGGCTTTACCTCTGCCACACACGACTGCATCGTCATCTACGGCTGCTCCGGCTACTGCGTCTGAGACTCGAGCTTAGACAGCGGCTCGGATTCAGACTGCAACTGCGACTCAAACTCCGCTGGCTTCCGGAACGAACTCAGCGAGCTTCCACGTCGCCCGCTGCGGAACGGCGACGGGCCACGTCGACGCATAAACACCGGTGACCGCGGAAAGCGATTTACAAGTAGAACAACATTAATAGCAACCGAAGCACCTACTTATTAAATTAACAGCAGCATCAACAGCAGCATCAACATCAGTAGCTACATCAACAATAGCAGCTGAAACGACAACAACAAAAGCAATAACATTAACATCAAAAACATTAGCACCGATTGTGTTTACGGCCTCGACCGATGATTAACGCGTCTTCGTATTATCCGTCGAGGCTGTAAGCACAAGACAGGTTTACGTCTTTATATCTCGCGTCGCCGCCTGCAACCTGTGTCTCCAAGCCCAGCACGCCCGCGGCAGAACCCTTTCCGCCGCTTTCCAAACAGGACCGGGGATTGGTCGCGGCCGTAAAATGGGAACTCGAAATTATTAAGAACGTGTGGTGTTATATTATCCACATTACGTTTAGTATAGTAGGACGTCGGGTTTTTTTCGATTATATGGGGGCGTTTTTTATTTACGTGATTAAATGGAGCATTCTTTAAATTCTCCCTGTAATATTATCCTTGATAGGAGTCCGTCCGTTGTGTAATCACACCTAATGTGAAACCCGAACAAAAAGTGCAAAAAACACACGTGTGTAACCCCGTAACAATGCACGCATCAGCATTTTAGAAGGTATATTTTATACCGCTCGTCGCACTGGTCTATCCCGCGCGTGCTCGTCTCACGTGTCATCTCGTTCCTTGCCACCTAACTTTCGAGTCACTAGCTCTTCTCTTGTGTCATGCCGCCAACAAGAATTTTTTATTTGCGTTCGCGATGCCTAAGCTGCATTTTTTATCTCACTGTCCGACCGTTATAGTCTTTTTGAAACTGCTTTAATGAATTCGACTCGTCTATTAACAATTTGCTATGTTTGTCGAAGATCGTTGTTTCGTTACTGTTGACATACCTATTTATACCGGATTAATTGCAACGACGATTTCCCTACATCTTTAGCAGTAACGGATGCCCTGTGGTCATTCTTCCTCCGAACAAGCACATCCGTTTTGCTTAATTGATTAAAACAATGCACCTGGATGCAGTTATCCAAAATAGCGCTGCGTACATACGAGCCGACCAATACACATTATTCGTCGCTCCACAAGACGCCTTGTGGTGGTTCCTACGACATAAAGTGTGCACCGATACGAACTGCAGAGGTAGCTAACTAATTATATCACGTAGCCTAAGTAGTAGTGGGAAAGTCGTGGCACCAGAGACCACGCAAAACTGCAGTATCAAGAGCTCACACTCCTGCGTCTAACCAAAAATTTCAAGATTGATGTGCTTGGCTCGACACGAAGCATTTGGAGCGATTTAATTGATCCGATGACCGATAACAAAATGCAACGTAAATTGCTGTAAAGCAAGTGTTTCGTTTATAGGTGCGTTAGTGGCAACAAGAGTGACATGAGTCATCACGACCATAGCCGCACGCTGGCCACCTATGGAGAGGTCCTTGGCCACATCTTGACGATAATCACCCCGCAAAAAGGAATACTATGAAAAATTTCGTGCACAGGGCAAACGTTCACTCCAAACTTAACCTGTTGAGAACACATCGTGCTCGACCCCTTCGCACCTTCTACGCCACACAGGACTTCACGTCGCTGCCAGTCAATTATTTCGACTGTCTGCTTCGTCACGCTTCTCATTGTACGGCTCTTTTCTTTGCGAAAAAGGTGTCGGTCAAGTTTACGCGTTAGTTCTTCGTTCGATCAAGGTCATGTCTTCGCCGCCGCGTTCTTCGCCGCCGAGCCTTACGCATCCGCCGCGCTCTTCGAATCTCCCGGTTGCTCAAGCGCCTCGTCGTTCTACGCCGTCCCGTCGATTCTCTCTGGCGGCAATTGTTTTTGGCTAGCTACTTGCTAATTGGTGACGATGAGTCGACGGACGAAGATCTCTACTTCAAGGCGAGCACACAACTGCGCACGCCAATTATAGCTCTGCCTTGCACACGCATGTGTATTTTTGCGGCGCGCCTGTCGGCTGAACATCGCACAACGAGATCCTTTATTTATTGGCGGGGGACTCTCAGCCAGCCATTTGGCAGACTCATAGGGCTTCTTTGCGCGACTTCGTCCGGATTCCTCTCCAATGCATCTTCTTTCTCTGCACGTCCGACGCAGCTCTACACTCATTGGGTGGTCTGGCGTTGCAGGTCTGCGGTTCGACGGTGCACATCCGCAAGTATTTAAGGTACGATAAACTGTGCTTTGTGGATTTGACCCGGCTTCTTGGTGAAGTGCCAGACCGGGCCATCTACAATTAATTCGTTAACCGCGGTTCTAGTCGGTTCCTACCATCCCAACCTCTGTTGGGGGAGCTTATGTCGCGCGACCGTACGGTGTAATTAACCCCCTGTTTCATTTAACATCAGCTTCGTGAGCACAACCGTGTCCAGCCTCCTTCGATTCGTCTGGTGGCTACTTCGCGTGAAATCTCTTTAGGTGGCTTGGATGATGCGGCTATGGATATCGATGATGCTGCATCTCATTCCTCGACTTAGGACGGTCCGCCAACTGGGACTTCTATATTTTCGCTGCCGTTCGTGCTTCTAAAGACGTCTTGATCCTCACCTTCCCCTGCTCGGTCGCCGACGCGTATACTTATCCTCAATTCGGTCGAGGCGAAAGCGCCAACGTGGTGATTGAATCAAGATTCTCGCCGCGAGGTATCGCAGGGTGCTGGTCATGTGTGTGCACCCACTGGATTGATGCCGTGCTCGTTGGCTGAGGTCCCTGGTGATTTGTCAGCGCTTAAGTATTCGACAATGGACGATGCGTACAACACGTACGAAGTTCTCATGGATCATAAATGCGACAAGACTAAACCTACGGACGTCGACATTATGATCTAAGACGAGCCCTTCAGCAGCCTCACTGGATTTACTGAAGACGATGAATTGGTTCCTCGCTGTGCTGATCACATTCTCATATGCGCGCCCGCAAACTTAAGCTGAAACGACAACAGCTAAGGCTCAAGAACTAGACGCGCTGATTGCAGAAATCGTTTCGAAAGACGTCATAAATGAAGCTTCGCATGAGGACCTTCTCGCTGCTATTCAACTGCAGCTTGCGTACCTACGCCACTTATACGAGCTTCCTACGGAGTGGCTGATACGGACGTACCGTACACACGCGGTTTTTTGTGCTTCTCGTGGCATTCGTCTGCCTGATGGACATACCAATGGACAGTCCTACTTGCATGCCACTCCGGGAGCTTCAGTGGCTCATCTTTTTGACTTCGTTTCCCCAACAATGAAGCTTGCAGAAATGCGTATGCTTGGTCCAAGTGTGATTTATTTTTGACGATTTTTGCGCCTACAGTTTATTTCGACCCGGTAAAGCTTTCGATGCTTTTACCAAGTAGCTATTCGTGCACGCGTCTGTGCTCTACGCTGTTTCTATTGTGGAGTGATTTAAACCTGCAATGTGTCACGCAAACGGATGTCTTGGCGATCTTCTTGACGGACCCGCGCACTCCGGACGATATTAGTCTTTATATCTAAGCTTCAAAGGACGCTCCCCTTCCTACGTTTGCGACCGCCTCAAGCCAATTTGTTTCCGCTCAGCTTTGAAGATGCCTGGTCCTTTGATGACATTTTGCTCAACATCAATGGATGGAACCATCAACTTATGGCGATGTACGAGTGACTACATTCCACATACAATTTGTGGCTTTTCAAGATACGAAGTTAGCCAAACAAGATTCTATCCAGACAAATGAGCACCACATTTTTTCGACGGATTTTGGTGCACAATGCTTTTGGTCCGATACGACTTCGCCTGTTTTTAATGAGCGCCATGGTGTCGGGTTTGTGCTTTCTTCTGCATCACCATTTCAAGACGTTCAAGACTTGACTTCTGGCGGCTGCGCCTTGCAGCTCAAGAATCGTTATTTGCTTCTTCGAGCCAAGCCGGGAAATATTTTAATTTT